AATCAAGTGACACCAGAGTGCTTTGGATCCCAGCTTTCCCTTGAGTAGTCAGTGATTTTTAGAGGTTGACTTTTCTTTCTTTTTTTTTTTTTTCCTGTAAGTTTGGGAGTTATTCAAAGAGTTTTATGAAATGATATGTTAGTAATAAGGAAGAATAGTCATTTTAAGGATCCTGTGTTTGGTTTGCAGCTTGAAATTAGCATGTTAGTTTTTTAAAAGCAGTGAAAGCGATAATGTGGGGCCAGGGTTTCTCAACCTTGCCACATTTGACAACCAGAGAATTCTTTCTCGTGGGGACTGTCCTGTGCCCTGTAGTATGTTTAGGAATATCCCAGGGCTCTACCTGCTAGATGCCAGTAACTATATCCCACCTCCCACCATTGTGACAACAAAAATGTCCTCTGGGAGCCAAGACTTCCCCTCGGCCCCATTGAGAGCCGCTGATTTATAGGTATTCACAACTATAGGATTTGTGAATGAAATATAATAGCCAACCAATGTTTTAAATGTCTAACTGTATCTTTGTTAGACATTTAAAATGTTTTTGTGGTTTTGTTTTTTAGATACAGGGTGTTGCTCTGTTGCCCAGGCTGGAGTGCATTGGCTTTTCACAGACATGAGCATAGCTTACGGCAGCCTCCAACTTCTGGCCTCAAGCGATCCACCCCACCTCAACCTCCCAAGTAGTTAGGGTCACAGGCACACACCACTGATCCTGGCTAAAAACATTTTTTGGTATGTGTATTTTAATTGTGCTTCTGCTTTCATCGCAGAAAATTTTTCTAAAACTCATTTTCTGCAAAGTTCTAGATAATAGGATCCATGAAGTGTCTTTATTTGTATAAATATCAGTGATTTTTCAGTCAGGTTATTAATATGTATCATTTAAAGTCCTAGGACCTCAGAATAGCCATTATTTTTCTTGTCTGAACTACCAAGAAAGAAAAACTGCACAGTTTGCAACCAAGTAACATTTATCAGAAATCTTCATTTCAATCTTGGATATCAAGTTTAAACACTTCCATTTTACTGAGCTTTATATGCTTTCCTAGGCATTAATCTCAATCTCTTGCACAATTCAGATCCATAATTTCTTTGAGGCACAGCTATTATATATCCAGTACCATACTAGGCTCTGTATTTACAAAGATGAATCCGGTACTGGACTTTAAACAAAGCTGGTAATGAGTTGTTACAATACAGAGTGAAAGGATTAAAGCTGGACATTGTGAGGCAGGAGGATCACTTGAGCCCAGGAGTTCGAGGTTGTAGTGCACCATAATCATGCTTATGAATAGCTATTGCACTCTAGCCTGGGCATCATAGCAAGACCCTGCCTCTTTTAAAAACAAAAAGAAAAAAGTAAAAAACCAATGAATTTTATAGGATGGGGTGGGGTGAGGATCTCAGGAACAGCTACACAGCAGGAGATTAATACTGGAGCTAATCCTTAAAGGCAGGCAAGGAGGGAAAGGAAGGTGCCTTCAACAAGAGTGGGTATGAAGAGAAACTCTCTTATGCTTTCTTATGTGCTGTGCTGAGTGCCAAGCACTTTATAATCATTGACTCACTCAGTCTTTACAACCACCCCTACACACAAGAAAATTAGGATTAGAGACAAAGTAATTTAACTAAGGCTCATATATTAAGAACTAAAGGTGCCCATGATTAGAAACTGGTATAATACTCTGATGTGGATACATCATTAGTGGGTTGGGTTGGAAGGTCATGAGAAGGAGTGGCTAGAAAATTATTTTGGGGCCAACTTGTAAAGGGTCCTGTCTGCCTTCCTGGGAAATGAACACTTTATTCTGTAAGTATTTGGGAGCTATTGGAGATGGAGGATTGGAGTTAGGAAGGGAGTCACGGAATGCTAGAGCTAGTAGGGACCTTTAAAGATCATGAGGTCTGATGCTCCGCCAGGGAAATTGAAGTTTAGAGAGGCAAAATGAGATGCCTTACTAGGCCACCCACTTGAGTGTTTCCTTCCTATTTTTCTGATTAAAAAAAAAATACAGGCTTGAGCTAGGCATGGTGGCACACACCTGTAGTCACAGCTACTCAGGGACCTGAGGTGGGAGGATCACTTGAGCCCAGGAGTTGGAGAGACTTAATTCAGCTTACATGAGAAGTGGTAGAGTTGAAAATGATAGTGGTGTCACAGACTGTCTATTAAACTAGTAGTTTTTTGCTTGTTTTTAAAATTTTCTAAGTTCAAGACCCTTTTACTTTTTTTTTTTGTTGTTGAGCCAGAGTCTTGCTCTGTTGCCCAGGCTAGAGTGCCGTGGCGTCAGCCTAGCTCACAGCAACCTCAAACTCCTGGGCTCAAGCGATCCTTCTCCCTCAGCCTCCTGAGTAGCTGGGACTACAGGCATGC